GCCGCGGGTTAAAACCCACAGTCGTGATAGGCTGTTAACATATTTTAGAAGTGAGATCATTTTTCGTGACGTGTGACCTTCCCTGTGAAATTTCTGCTCAATTGTTTTTTCAGTGTACAGTTATTAAAAATAAATGATCCTTAACCCGCGCCCCACTTGTTCAATTTGACCTTCCTGTGACGTCATAGGTCCAAGAAAAATGGTCAAGGAGGTTTCGGTGGATGCATATATATGACATGTCTTCATAAATGCTCGAATACCTATTCACAATTTAACATGTCTTTCCTTACGATTCACCAAAGTGTTTTCTGATTGGTCGAGGCTGACCCCTGTTGTGACGTCACAGGTCATCATCCACTCAGGTGACTATCCACATGCCAGATCTATTATATACATCATATTCAGACTAATTTTGAAAACTTAGATTTCATTTTTATGACCGACTTCTCGTCATTGCAAATTTGACTGATTTGACCTTATTTGACCTCCCTGTGACGTCACAGCTCAAATATCAAAATCATTGATATCCTATCTTGTGCATCTCGATGAGCTCTTTCGATTGCCGTTTGAATTTTTCCGATCCGGCTATTGGTTCCGGAGATACGACGCGGGGCCTTTGCCCCCCCCCCCCCCCAACAGGACGCATGGAACCTGCCAGACCTCAACGAGGCGCGGGTTAAGACTTAAGTTGAACTTAAGATGTGCTTAACTTTTTTAAGTACACTTAAGAAGCAAGCAACAAAGTATATCACTCGACGCGCCTTGACGTGCTGAGTTCACTGGTGCCTTCCTTGCTGCTGTATCTTAATTAGATCAAAAGTTATAAGCGAAAAACGTTTGACCTGTTTTTAGCGAATTTTTTCATTCATACCCCCGAAACCCCCATAAATATTGACCAAGAGCAACCAAATTTGCACAGGGGCGATAACTCCATAAGGTCCACCTACCTACCAAATTTAGTGTTTCTAGGTACCATAGGAGCCAATCGCGAGGGGGGGGGTGCATCGACCCCCCCCCCCCCCGCCAGGCCGTGTTATGAAAAATGCTCTGACAGGGCGACGGTTAAACTCACTATTCCTCGTATAAATTGGAGATGCATGCTCCTTGGAAAGAAAGTTACATGAAAAACGGCGCACCAACTCCTATTTAATTCTTCCCATATTCCAGGAAAACATTGAAAAATGACGAGACCTCCACCCAAATGTTTGGCAAAAGCCTTAAAATTTGAAATCAACCACGCAATGTGCTAATAAATACAGAAAACAGCAATAAATACATGTTTTACTCGCCACTACCCTCCCGGGGTCGACGCACACCCTCGCAACAATTCCGCACTGTTAACAAAGTCGGCGGCAAGTCGGCGGTATCAAACAAGCACAGGGCCGCGGGAACTACTTTCAGACTAGGGGGGGGGGGGCACACCATAACACGCGCAGTGGAAGGGTTGCGAGTACTACGCCCAGTGGAAGGGGGGATGTCGCCCCCCTAAGATCTCAGCTCCCACTGGAGCTAGAAAAACAAAATTTGGAGGGTAGGTGGGGGCCATGGGAAACTCTGTTGTGTGTGAATTTCATGACCCTAGGTCAATATCTTCAAGGTCAAATGAGGTCAAATGTGGTCAAATCTGCCATATTAGCGACGTTTTTGCGTTTACACGCCGATAACTCAAAAAGTTACCAGCCGATTTTTTTTAATCTTTCACTATACGAAAGAACAAACATTTGTGAGTATTTATGTTGAATTTCTAGATAATCCAACAATAAATATGGCAGTTAGAAGCCTGCTAAGGGTAAGATGTCGCCGGCTGAAGCGGCATCGGCCGACGCGGGAAACGCGGCAATCACAATTTTGTGTTTACACACTCATAAGTCATAACTCAAGTTGTTACCGGCCGATTTTCAAAATTCTTGGACCATATGATTGCCTGTACATTTCTCAGTCTTCTCACCGAATTTGACGCGAATCTAATATAATCAGCGGTAAGGAGCGCGACGTAAAGACGGAACCGTCCCGCCCCGGCACAGTCTACAATTCAGGCGGCGCGTAACGGCTAGCGCCGGCCGCCGCGCCGCGGCGCCGCCGCGGCGGCAGGATGTTTGCCTTTACACCGCTATTACTAGAAAAGTGGTGAACCGATTTTCTTACTTCTTGCACGAGAAGATCTGCAATTCAATTCTGGACAGGTAGCCGAAATTTCACATTGATATTATGCTTGCGGCGCGAGTTATTGGCGAAAAACAGGAGGGGTGGGCGAAATCCGCCCCCCCTTCCACTGCGCGTGATAATAGAGATCAACCTAGGGTACCCCCAAATGTAGTTTTCTCACCGGTTTTAGACCACTTATTTTTCATCCCTTGGGTTTTTCAACAAAAAAGAAAACATTTGCAAAAATAGTGTGGTATTCCGTCTCAAAGCTGTGGGGGCACCGCCCCCACGGCCCTAGAGTTGGGGGGGGGGCAAGCTGCCCCTCTGCCCCCCCCCCCCTCCGGCTCCCGCGCCTATGAACAAGCATGGCCCGTCACTAAAGTCTTTTAAGAATATTTACTTTTCGTTTTTGATGCTGTTTGCTAACAAAATGTTTGATGAGGTCTAATAAAACGATCGTTTGTCGAAACGATCGTCAATATTCCACGACTCAAAACTTTGAAAAAATCACATAAAATACATCCACGCTAGGATTTAGATATCCACGCTAGATCATGGACACTTCACTATGACGAATTGAAAGCGACCAGGGGCGATAGTCGCCTTTGCCTCCAGTTCGGCGGAAATCGGTAAGTCCCAACATATGCGCAACATGTTCTACATATATTTGGGTACGATTACGTCATTAGCGTACCCATTTTTGGAAGATGCGTACCCATATATGGAAAATCCTTCCAGAAATGGAAGGCTTCCAGAAATGGAAGATTTGACCACAGTTTCCCCGACTGGTTAGGGTGGCCGCTTTGCCCCACTCTCCCCTGATGGACAAGAATCTCTGCGAGGTGAGCTGCGGCCGCTGACGGTGCAGTCCGCTGACGGGGCAGTCAGCTGACGGGGCAGTCCGCTGACGGGGCAGTCCGCTGTCACGGTGCGGTCCGCTGACGGGGCAGTCTGCTGTCACGGTGCGGTCCGCTGTCACGGTGCGGTCCGCTGTCACGGTGCGGTCCGCTGTCACGGTGCGGTCCGCTGGCGGGGCAGTCTGCTGTAACGGTGCAGTCCGCTGGCGGGGCGGTCCGGGCTGTAACGGTGCCTGTCTCGCAGGAGCGCCTCCACTGAACTCTACAATGTTTGTTTTCTTGGTGGAGTTCAGTGTTGCGCAGACCAGGAAGCGGCCGCCGCCTGTGTTGGGGAATAGGGAATTCGGGACCTCGATTTACGTTTGCGGCCGCTGCATCCGTTACGTTCAAGCTATGTAGACACGGAACCCGGCATCCTACGCAGCATTGAGTGGAAAATAAGATGACATCTTAAGAAATCCTCAACTACAGGGAACTTATACGTTAAACCCTTATAAGTCAATGGGAATATATGGAAATTGCTATTTTGGCGCTGGAAATGAACTAAAACTATATCAAGCATATAGAGTCGTGACTTTATGCACTCCTTGCAACTGCAAGGTCCAATGCTTCACATTTGCATTGTTGCCCTTGCGTGACGTAATCTGTGACGTCACAAGGGTCATAAACTTTTCTTCAATAACTCTTGATCAAATTGAGCTAGCGAATCGGGAAGGCCACAACTGGACTCAGAAACGCCTGCCGAATTGAATGATATGCAACATGACTTTACTCGACCAGCTTCGTGACCTGAGAGCTCTGACCTGACCTTGTCACGAGGTCAATGCCGTAAATTGACCTCACCCGAACAAAAAGTATATCACTCGATGCGCCTGAGCTAGGTGAACACGATGATGCCAAAATCGCGGTTCTACGGCCATTTTTGGCGAAGTTATTTACCAAAAACCGAGCCCGTGCCTTAGGTCACTTGACCTGACCTCAGAGGTCACCGGTTGACCTGAGACCTTTAAAGCGGATTCCTACGGTTTGTGATAAATAACTTCACAAAAAACGGTCGCAGCGCCGCGAATTTGGCAGTTTCGTGTTTTCCCCGCTCATGCGCGCCGAATGGTATACTTTTTGTTCGGGTGAGGTCAGCTTGAAGTCTTGACCTCGGGTCATAGTCAGGTCAGAGCCCCAGGTCACGAAATTGGTTGAAGGAGGTCATATTGCATATCATTAATTCAGCACGTCGTCCTGAGTCCAAGTGACTTCCCCGACTCGCTAGTTCAATTTGATTGGGATTTATTGACGAAATTTTTTTATGACCTTAGCGAAGTCATAAATGACTTCACGCTAGGTCAACAATGCAAAAGTGAAGCATTGGACCTTGTAAAGAGTGCATGAAATCACGATTCTGTGTGCTTGAGATAGTTTGTGATCGTTCCCGGTGCCAAAATAGCAGTTTTCGTTTTTCCCCATTATCTGATAATAGTGAGGTCACGTGACCGACCTGACCTCATGTGACCCTCAGGAAAAATCCGAGATACCAAAGTTGTGAGACCCCAGTGAGGGTACTACGTCCTGTAAGTTTCATCTCCCTGTGAAAGTTCCTGTGGCACTGAGGGCGTTGAGAAATTGCGACAACTGATGACCGTGCAGAGATTCACTTATGACGTCATAGGTAATGACCTGACCTGACCTGAATATGTGGTTGGTGTCAAAAGTTCCGACTTGAAACAAAAGTCAGGTATGCTAAGTTTCAGCTTTCTATCGCCGGTGTGCTCGGAGCTATCGCGAAAAAAAAGCATATGGAGGGAGGGCGGCACTCGCCCCCTCGGCCCGCGCGGGTTAAACAATAATGTTGAGCGCCGCGTGCGTGGATATTGCAGTGTCAGCTCGCATCACTCAACGGCATTCTTCGTCGAGCGTGAAAAGGTGATAAATTACGACTCAAGTGATGACATTATGAAGTCCATTCATGCACTTAGTGAACATGACTCAGCAAACAGGCGTGACTGACTCGCAGCATTATTAATATATTAACACATCATCACACCAGCGCGCGCAGTGACTGTTCACTTTGGACCGGCGCAGCATCGCGTGGCTGATGTCAATTGTGAACCAAAAGCGTCGCAAAAAGTCCCGAACAGCCAGGTTCAAGTATCAGCCAATCAGCAGTGCATTGATCTGATGCCTCTGATGCTTGCTGGAAAGAATGGTTTTTGAATTTTTAGTGAGTTTTCACCTTAATTTGCACAAACCATATTGCATATCATTATTGCAGCCTATTAAAATTAACACAGAATTATGTGACTTTTGCGAGTGCAAATTGCAACGAATTTGCAACGAACATTGCAACGTTTTAAGTACGGTCTCACGGTGAGGATACGGTTCTGATGGTTTCGGCATGGTGTTCTGAGTATTCAATGAACGGAGCCCGTGTGTCTGATAGGTAAAGAGTATAAGCGCAATGTAGCAACATTTTGCTTTAAACATTGTCTCTTTCAGCATAATCCTTAAAAAGCTCCAATCCAGTATCTTCATTCCCTCCAATATCCGTGTCTGGCTTCGAAGGGCACGTTAAACTTTGGCATCTAACTTCTAACGTTACCCGGAATTGCGCGTTCACATGGTAGGGGTTAGGGGGTCTACGCAACAAGCTCTGCTTAACGTGGGTTCCGGCTCTGTCAATCCATCCATTCAAACATTTGAGCTAAATCTATGTGAAAAAAAACTGTAAAAATATTACATTATTTTTTTCACATTGCACACCAAGGCCTTGCGACACATACTATTTGAAATATGCTATACTACCTGACCACATACACATATACACACATATACACATACACATACTATATTCTATTTGAAAGCAATTGAATCCAATTCACCCTTCAGTTCAGGAGACTCGCATGCACAATACAAAGAAAACACGGCAAATCAACGAAAGCATATATCACAGCGGGGACTGGGGGGTCCTTTCAAAAATCGCCCAGCTATTGTGCTGATGCCGGTGTCAGACACTGTTGACACCAGAGGTGCCCCGCCGGTGTCAGACACTGTTGACAGCAGAGGTGCCCCGCCAGTTCTAGACACCCTAGTGACAGCAGTGTCTGGCCGGTGTCAGACACTAGTGACAGCAGTGTCTGGCCGGTGTCACACGCTCTGGTGACAGCAGTGTCCCGCCGGTGTGTCAGACACCAGTGACAGCAGTGTCCCGCCGGTGTGTCAGACACCAGTGACAGCAGTGTCCCGCCGGTGTCACACGCTCTGGTGACAGCAGTGTCCCGCCGGTGTCAGACGCTCTGGTGACAGCAGTGTCCCGCCGGTGTCACACGCTCTGGTGACAGCAGTGTCCCGCCAGTGTCAGACACTAGTGACAGCAGTGTCCCGCCGGTGTGTCAGACACTAGTGACAGCGGTGTCTGGCCGGTGTCAGACACTAGTGACAGCAGTGTCCCGCCGGTGTCAGACGCTCTAGTGACAGCAGTGTCCCGCCGGTTGCACGCTCTGGTGACAGCAGTGTCCGGCCGGGTGGCGCTCCACATCCCGGCACAGGTAGCGCAGGATCGCCCCAGCCGCCGACAGCCGCACCGTGTCACCAACGTGGTTTTCGTCCAAACATTCATGTCGGTTTTTCACTCTGAGAGGTCTCTGAAAGGCCGACAGGAAGCGACATACGGAGTGCTCGAACCGTATCGTCTCAGCCAGCGAGGCTGTCCATATGTGAAGTCGCGGTACCTGTCGACACGACAGTGGGCCGTCACGCAAGGGAAAGAACAGCTGGCTTGCTAGCTTGCTAGCTATAAAATGCAGGTGCATTACTACTCTAAGAGAACTTTGTAAACTGCATCCGCCTGTTATTTTTTCTAATAAATTCCATAGATTGCGTTTGCCGGAGTATGCTCCAGGTGAATTAACCCTCGCCCCGTGGGGGGGGGGTCAATACCCCCCCCCCTGTAGCGTTTCCTGAATAGCAAGAAAACGGCGACGGGCAGCGCCGCCAAATTTTGATTACCTTACCGGGTATCAATTTGACACATCCACACAAAATTTCAAGTCTTAGGTCACCTTAGGTCAGGAATTATTGAGGTCAAACTGAGGTCATGTTCGAGCAAAAATGAGCAAAAAACATGAGATCTCGAAACGCTCACAAAAGCTACAATTACTAAGTAATTTCAAAGTTCTTTATATGATCATGTGGAAAAAATGGCGCCACAAAACCGCTGTCTCGGATTTTCAAAATTTTGGGATTTTGACCCGCCAAAATAAAAAAGTTTTTTTTAGAAAAACGCAAAAAACCATAGAGTTTTGAATTTCAAAAAACCGGAATATATATGATAGTCCCGGCGCGCTTCTATCTACATACCAATTTCACATTTTTGAGCTCCATTTTTGGCAATTCTTGAGCACGTAGGTCGCAAAACAAAGACCACCATTGAACTCCCCGTGACGAGCTGCATCGAATCGATACCCATTTTATGCAAAATATGAACTTTGAGATTTGACCTTATTTGACCTGACATTGACCTGACCTTGACCTTCCCTTCACCAAAACATAATCTAAACTGACCCCAAAGGCTGCCTGACCCACATAATCGCATTTGGCATATAAAATGGACCATAAAACATGCATCACATATTTTCATATCGTGACCCTCAGTGACCTGACCTCTGTGACCTGACCTGGTATCAGTGACATCAAATAGCCAAAATATGTGTTTTCGAACAATACCCCATCGATGATTTTCAATGAAATGCATTTTACTCGATTTTACAACGCATTTTTTGAAATGTCTGTAAACGGTGAAAATTTGACATTTGACCTGACCTGTGACATCATCGGTTAGACCTAGATCAATTAAATTGGGTCATAAGGTACGTCCCTGTTAGGGCTATCCAACACAGTTTGCTGCTTGTCGCTATCTTGCGTTGTTCTCGAGATCTTAGGGGGAGGGGGGCAAATTGCCCCCCCCCCAATAGGGCGCGGGTTAATGACATTGGTATTAGTGACATTAATGACAGGTATATTGAATGACATTGGTTGCATTAAAAACAATCAATCAACGTGGCATGGCAGTGATGAACCAAATATACGACTGAATACATATTAAAGTTTTTCTCGCCCTTTTATCCACGTTGGTTGAAAATTTGGAAATTTATTTCTAAACCTGTGTAGTAGTTACGGAGCGAGCGAAGCGAGCGGAGTCTTACGTAGAATAACGGAAATTTCTGAGTATGAGCGGCCGGCCGGCCGGCCGGCCGGCCGGCCGTGCGGCCGGCCGTGCGGACGCTTTTGCGAGGCTTATATCTCAGCAACCACTTGACCGATTTACATGCGGTAATTTTTGTAGGGTAGCTTCATTCCTTCCACCAAGTATTGGACTATTCCCGATGCATGTGGGTGACCCCTTATGCACGTGCCACGTGCAAAACGAAGAGGTGTCCCTTTTGTAATTGTTGCAATATCTCGGTAACTACTTGGCCGATTGCGCTGAAAGTTGGCATGTAGGTAGGCACCCACTAGGCACTGTATATCCATGTGCCAAAGTTGGGGTGCCGCTGCACGTGCGCACGTGCAGGGGTCGTTTCCAGATCTCGAGAACGGCTCGACCGATTGCGCTCAAATTTGGTACACAGTTAGGGACCGGTTAGTAGGGTGCCGTGCACAAGTCAGTTGGGACCCATTTTGCACGTGCGCACGTGCAGGGTGCCGCTTCCAGATCTCGAGAACGGCTGGGCCGATTGTGCCCAAATTTGGCACATCGCTAGAGACCGGTTAGTAGGGTGCCGTGCACAAGTCAGTTGGAGGTACCCCCTCGCAATTTCGCACGTGCAAGGCCCACCCTCTCGCTCGCTCCGTTAGTCGCCCCAAAAGGCGTTATACTGGTTGAGTATGCGAGTTATCGACAAGCGTGCGAAATTTGAAAATCAGTTTATAAGATCTCGCGATCTACGCTCCCCCTTTCCTCTGAACTAAAATGGGCATCCATGGGCCATGAGAGGCATGTTAGAATTTAGAACATGAGCAATGCCCGCTATATGTCGGAAGATATGGTCAAGTTTAGTGTCTTTGCCAGATAACCTGCCGTGAAAACGGCAATTATAGTCGTATTCTTCCTTTCAATTGCGCTTATTTGAAAGAAGGTACCTACTGACAAAAGCTACTGACCTGATGACTTGATAAAGCAAGCTGACATTTTCTACGCAGATACTATAACTTTCTAATAACTAACTTTCTACTTTCTACGCAGATGCTATTCATGACACTGTGCAGCAAAGCCCCTGGCGTATTCTGCGATGACTTTCTAACCAAAGTTTGGAGTGTCCACTCGTCAGATGCCGAGATGCTGCCGGCCGCGCGCGCAAACTCACCTTGTGTCTAAGTGTTTCGGTGACTGTCGCCGTCACCGCCAGGAGGGCGTCGTTGAATGGCGACTTAACTCCACTGCTGTCTTGGAAATGGGGTCCGTCGACACGGTACACAATCTGAATACGCTGGGAGAGTCTTTGTAACACAGGCAACAGGCCATCCAATTCGTCCCTGAGAAGCAGCACACTGCCCAAAAGGACAGCCGACCGTTTTCTTGGCATACCACAGTCCAAGCGTCATGACGATAAGGTCCGGGCATACTGTCCCGTCCAAGCAATCTTGCTCTAGCACTGCCAAGCGATCTGCAAACCCAGCGCTCAGGAACGGAGTCCAGTGAAATGTGGCACGCACCAAGTCACTTGTGTATTCCATGTAGCATGTGTAATTTAGAAAAACGTTACGGAAAGTATGAAGGCAGGGCACTCGCTGGCCATGCTCGAGAAAAGTCGCCTCTTCGGCCGTTTCGAAGTAGTCGTGCACAACAGGTTGTTTCCTCACATGTTCTAGAGCATCGTGAAGCTTTGTAAAAATAACACGTGCTCGAGAGTCGCCGATGAACTTGATGAACGTAGGCCGACCACGTCGCTCTCGCAGGCTCGTCAGGCACGGCGCCGACTGGCTCGGGGGGAGGCCGGAACCGTAGCAAGAGGTTGGCGAGTATGGCGTTGGCTTCTCCCAGAACATCCGAGACTCGGAGAGTGAGAACAGACGCAGACAGCCATCTCCACTGGTCGGCCGGTCCGCAGTCACAGGGGCTGGAAGACGGACAAAAAAAAAACGCTGCATCAGCTGACACGGTAGGTGGACAGCTGCAACAGTGAGCAGACGCCGCACTTCAACACTCAACCGAGTGAGAGCATAGACAATTATCAACACACGCACCTGCGACGATCCGGACCAGCTTGGCGCCTAAAGGGGTGGGGCGGCTACACTGAAAGAAAAACTACACCTGAAATTGGAATATTATTACGGTACACAAATCTCCACCCCTTTTAACTTCATTTTATGCCAGAGTAAAAGATGTTTGCATGGACAATGGGAGATTAATTCTGCCACCCGGTAGTAAGTAATATATCCTCGTAAGCTTAGAACTACACCCGTTGCGGAATAAAAGTACGGTACACAAATCTCCACCCCAAATCAATTCATTTTACACCCCTAGGTAAAGGGTGTAAAGGGGCGTTAGGAAGAATTAAGCATGTAATTTACGATAATAATTTTACGCCACAGTGCAATTTAAGCCAAAACAATTTCTACGCCTTGCGACATGGTGTAGAAATACCAGCGGGCTGCGAAGCTGAACGTGTACAATTTAAGTCAAGATGTAAAAATAGCAAAAGTAAACGATAATAATTGTATGTTCTTTTCCAGAGGGAGTAAAAATACGACTGGGTAAATATACATCGCCAGCCATAACTATCCCCCAGCGTGATTGTATCAACTGTCGTCTTCTGAGCACTTTCGATAAAGTCAACTATGGTGCATCTCTCCAACGTGTTTTTTATTTAACACGCGCAGTGGAAGGGGGGGGGCGGATTTCGCCCACCCCTCCTGTTTTTTGCCAATAACTCGCGCCGCAAGCATAATATCAATGTGAAATTTCGGCTACCTGTCCAGAATTGAATTGCGGATCTTCTCGTGCAAGAAGTAAGAAAATCGGTTCACAACTTTTCTAGTAATAGCGGTGTAAAGTGCGCGGCGGCGCGGCGGCCGGCGCTAGCCGTTACGCGCCGCCTGAATTGTAGACTGTGCCGGGGCGGGACGGTTCCGTCTTTACATCGCGCTCCTTACCGCTGATTATATTAGATTCGCGTCAAATTCGGTGACAAGACTGAGAAATGTACAGGCAATCATATGGTCAAATAATTTTGAAAATCGGCCGGTAACAACTTGAGTTATGAGTGTGTAAACACAAAATTGTGATTGCCGCGTTTCCCGCGTCGGCCGCTGCCGCTTCAGCCGGCGACATCTTACCCTTAGCAGGCTTCTAACTGCCATATTTATTGTTGGATTATCTAGAAATTCACCATACATACTCACAAATGTTTGCTCTTTTGTATAGTGAAGTTTTAAAAAAATCGGCCGGTAACTTTTTGAGTTATCGGCGTGTAAACGCAAAAAAGCCGCTAATATGGCAGATTTGACCACATTTGACCTCATTTGACCTTGAAGATATTGACCTAGGGTCATGAAATTCACACACAACAGAGTTCCCCATGGCCCCCACCTACCCTCCAAATTTCGTCTTTCTAGCTCCAGTGGAAGCTGAGATCTTAGGGGGGGGCGACATCCGCCCCCCCCCTTCCACTGGGCGTAGTACTCGCAACCCTTCCACTGCGCGTGTTAAAATAACTTGAAACGACAGATCACAGGTTGCTACAGATTGGTTCCTCCCAACACTGACTTCCCTGAGGATATCACAAGCTGCACAAATCACATTTTATTCACAGCACAGGTCATCAGGTCACTAAGTCACGTTTCATCACGTACTTTAAAAACAACTGAGCATTTATTCGTGTAACGAGTATCGACACCAAACGTACGGTCTCTGAAATCAAAGCACAGGTGTACGAAATAGGAAAGCACTGATAACAAAAACTCCGTAAAAAAAAACTGACTGAGGCATTCTCAACTCACATCATCTTCAGTGCCTATAGGTACTGAAGATGTTTCACGGCACGACACTACAGTGCGTTACGTGTATCGTGGTGCTGAGTTCCTATTGGAAACATCCACATAGTCGAACGCTCTCAATGTTGGAGCGTCCAAGTTTGTAGATGCTTCTAAGTTCTATGGAAACTCAATACCGCGATACTAGTAGCGCACAGTAGTGCCGTGCCGTGAAACAGGGCCCTGCTCGGTCACCCGACCACTGTCCACTGCACTGGTGCCTCTGAATCGGCAACAGTGGATTATACGAAGGATGGCATTCTCGGCCGCACTGAGAGGAATCGCGAACTTCATTACCCGTGCATATATGACCTCAAAAAGGATCATGCTGGGCCCTCTAAAAGGCAAATATAGCACAGCGTGCGCCGCAGCGAAGGCAGCCAGCATCTTCATCTCACTGTTTGGGAGACGATATTTCACATCGCTGACCAGGCACTGGGTTTCTGGGTGAACGGACACAGCGTTGCGCCCATCCTGCAGCTCCGAAATCGTCGTGCCGCCACCGATCACCAAGGTGGCCGCCAGGTCGTCATCTACCAAGATTGAAAGATAAAAAGAACTATTAACCACTGCAATCTTTAAGTTAAGAACGACTTTGTATGTCAGGCCGTCCATCCGTCCGTCCATCCACCCATCAATGTAAATTGAAGGATGTAAAGAAATATTAAGCACTGTAATCTTTAAGAAAATAGCAATTTTGAATGTCGATCCTTAAAAATTGACAGATGAATCTATTAACCCGCGCACCGAAGGGGTTCTGAGCCAACTTAGAAGCGACGAGAGGGTGGATGACCGCCCCCCAAAGATCTCAAGAACTAAGTAACTTCGCGAGAAGCGGCAAACGACATTCGAAAGCTCGTAAGAAGGTCTATGAAAAAAGTACTTCGGTCATTTTTCGCTAGGGTTCAAAATGACGTCATCAGAGGTCATCGAAGGTCAAATTATGCGAGTAACCGTAAAAAGACCGACAACATTCAACAAACGACTCCGTAGCTCATAAACAGAAGAGATAAAAAGTCGTATAAAAAGGAATCTGATGGAAATAAGAATGACTTGAAATTTATTCCATTGACTTATAATGGGCAGGTAAAAAATTACCTATTCGTAGGTCATCGATATGCAATTCTGAGATATACGAGTTGTAGGTGCTCATTACCAAAATTATTTCTGTGAGTTTCAAGATCTGCTTTCAACAACGAGATAGCAAACTTCGAAGATTGTGTTTCGAGGTGAGGTCACTAACGTGGCCTGGTGGCCTGACTTTTTTAAGATATTAGCTAAAAATTTCCAGAGGGTGTGCGAAATGGATGTATCAACAGTCGTGCCAAATATCCTTTTTTATGCTATCTGACAAAACCTGAGGGGGGGGGGGGCTCCCCCGTCGGTGCGCGGGTTAAGCACTGTAATCATAAGGCAAAGAACGATATTGTATGTCTGTCCGTGAAAACTGAAAGACAGGGGCGTAACCACTCCTTAAAAAATGGGCTGGAAATAACGCCCTCCGGGGGGCGGCATTAAATGCCAAGGGAAGGGCGGCACTTATGTTTTGGGAGTCATGGAGGTGAGTGCTTGAGGGCCTTTACCGTGTCACTGTTGTGTATCAAGTACTTCCGCTTTGGGAAAGAAGAACAATAATCAGCATTCATCAGCTGACTACACGTTGTAAGGGGCACACGCAGAGAACACGCCACAACTCTGATCTTTGAGATTTGTTACTTCATGCGGTAGATATGCATGCGTAAGATGGGTGGTCAGCCCGTTGCTAGCACTTAGCACTTTGGCTTTGCTACTACGCACGTCGCACCAGATTGATAAATGACAGGCACACTCAATAGTTCACTTCATTCAGGTGACTTCAATTGCAATGGGATCAGAGTCTGACCATGGGCGTCGAAAGCGAGGGGGCCTCAACGGTCTCTAAGGGCCATTATTGGCCACAGGGCCCTTACCGGCCTCAGGGTCCTTACCGGCCAGATCGCCCTAACCAGCCTGAGGGGCCTTACCAGCCCATTAGGGGCCACCTCTAGCCGGGGCCCCACATCCGACTGTGATGTTCCCACTCCAATTTCTCTGAGGGCCCCGTCATGGCAACTGATAGCCCTCACCGGCGCCTCTGAGGGCCCAAACCGGTCTCGAAGGTCCCCCACACGGGCACGAGGGGCCCTGTGGCGCCAATGGGCCGCTGGGGTTTAACTGGCCATATTTCTGGTCATATTTCGACTCAGAAGTGCCCCACAGGGCTCGTAAGGACATCTCATGGGCCCCTAAGTAGCCACAAAGTTCCCCATAAAAGCCCTACACCGGCTTCTTAGTGCCCCTTGCTGGTCTCTGAGGGCCCTTACCGGCCTATTACGGCCACCTCTAGTGGCCTCAAACCCGTCTGTGATAGCCCCACACAAGTTTCTCTGAGGGCTCCCATAACGGCGACTCTGAGGGCCCACACGGGCGCCTACGAGGTCCCAAACCGGCGTATCTGAGGGTCCCACGCCCCCCAACTCTGAGGGCCTACACCAGTATCTCTAAAGGCCCTGTATCGGCGGTCCTGAGGGCCCCACATCAGTGCCTCGGACGACCCCACGCTGGTGACTCTGAGGGTCCCAGCGGCGTCTGAGAAAACCACGCCGGTGTTTAAGGACCCCAAAGGGCTCCTCAACGCACCATCGACTTCTGAGATCCCCTTGTCGGCTTATGAGGAGTCCACCACAGTAGCTCTAAGGGCCCCATGCGCGCCTCTGATGGCCCTGTGTCTCTGAGGAACTCCATATTGGCGCCTGTAAAGGGCCTCACCGGCGACTGTGCAGGTCCCACACCGGCGCCTCTGAGTGCCCCACACTGGCACCCCTGAGGGCCCCACACCAGTGCCTCATAAGGACCTAAATCAGCAGCTCTGAGGGCCCAACATCGGCGCCTCTGAGGGCCCCACACCAGCGCATCTGACGGCCACCCACCGGTGACTTTTGAGTGCCCTACATCGGCGACTCTCGAGTACCCCAACGGCGTCTGAAAGTATTATACCGGTCTCTAAGGACCCCACAGGGCTTCTGAAGGTAGCGCCGGCCTATGAGGACCCTTTGCTGGTCTGAGGACCCCTTGCTGGTCTCTGAGAGCCCCCTGCTGGCTTGTAAAG